GTCCTTTAGTGCTGCAGGCAGGCAAGGTGTTCAAATAGTGCACAACTTCAGTTTTTTATTTCTATATGATGAACTCTGCATTATTAAGTGATAAGAACAAGTAATCTGATGTCCTGTAATCATTATGACGCTATAATTTGAGATACAATAAATAAAATAAGTTTTTGTACAAAGTATCGGTATCGGATCAGTATCGTCGATACCACCCTGAATATTACTTGGTATCGGATCGGAAAGGAAATCAGTGGTATCGCACATCACTACTAATGTAGGTGGTCAGATGTTCATGACTCTGCTGCTGGTAGAAAAAAACAACAACTGATGTCAGGAAGTTTTTCTTCTTCTCTGGTTTATTAACAAACATTAAATGCAGTAAATGCCATCACAGCCTACACCAAAAACTTTCAGTCAGCTGCTGCTATGTTGGCTTCTGTATCAGTTTCAGAGAGTGTATCTGTTGTCTCCAGTGTGTGTTCCAGCTCTGTTGTTCGCTCAGCTGTCTTCGTTTCATGTCGTCTGAGAGCAACAGTTCCAACTTGACCACTTGCTCAAACCGCTGACACACACACACACACACACAAACATTAATTACATGTGTCATTTTGTTTGTGTGTGTGTGTGTGTGTGTGTGTGTATACACACCTTCATAGCAGTGTTTCTTTGCTCCATAACAGTCACATATCCTGGGGTCCACTTGGATGTAGCGATCGAAACTGTTGTTACCGTAGTATGAGAAGATGGCAGGTCACCTGTGCTGTTGGTTGTCATGTCCACACACACACACACACACACACACTTTAAATTGACTATAGTTTCTTCTCTAGCCACAAACATCTGCACTACCAGGGGTAACATGCAGGTCAGAGGTCAAAGGTTACCTATTTTCAGCACTTGGTCTGCTTCCTGTTTCAGATGCTGCTTCTACAGTAACAGCACCACCTTCTGTCTGCTGTCGTGCTGTTGCTGTACCAGTTTCTATCGAAACAGGTTAAACATAAAAATTATTCAAAGTTGTTTTGGAAGCACTCATCTTGAAATGTATCTGGGACCTTATCTGGGCAGAAATTTTTAAGCACTATATAAATAAACTTTAATTTCATTGGTTACCCAGATATACAAAATGCATGTGGGAAATCACCACTCAGATGCTTTCAAATTTTAGTGACTTTATCCAGAAAGTATTCACTTCACTTGTTTCACATTTTGGAATGTAACAGCCTTTTCACCTCAAAATTCTACACACAATACCCCACAATCTTTGCTCAATACTTTTGTTGAAGCAGCTTTGGCAGCAATTACAGTTTGAAGTCTTTTTGATTATGATGCTACAAGCATGGTACACATATTTTGGGGTAGCTTCTCCAAATTTTCTTTGCAGAACCTCTCATGTTTCATCAGGTTGGATTTGAAGGATTGGTGCACATTTTCAGATCTCTCCAGAGATGTTCAATTGGGTTCAAGTCTGGTCTGTGGCTGAACAACTCAAGGACATTGACAGAGTGGTCCCAAAGCCAGAGAACTTTGTTTCTCATGGGCTGAGCATCCTTCATATGGTTTTTCAGCAAACTCCAGGCAGGCTGCCATGTGCATTTGACTGCCGAGTCAGTTCCGTCAGCCCAGGGCTGATTGGTGGAGTGCTGCAGAAATGGTTGTATTCCTGGAAGGTTCTTGTCTCTCTACAGAGCAATGCTGGAGCTCTGGCAGAGCAATCATTATGTTCTTGGGCACCTGCCTGATGGATGCCATTTAAATCCGATCGCTCAGACAAACTTACATTTCCAAGGTCATTTTATTGGAATCATCAATAAACTCCAATAAAAAATAATTCAAAAACTTGACAACACTGCCATCTTTTGACATATGAGCCTAAGAGACTATTCCAAGGTCTGATGTCTTGGTGCTAATTACCACAGGGAAATTGCTATGTAGGCTCCATTACTTGCAGCACATCAAGCAGGTGATCATCTATGATTTATAGCCTAACTGAACAGATGTTTATAATATGTCCATTACAGCTTAAGGTAAGCATCTCTGCACACACACACACATGCACACACACACAGCCATTATGATGGTACAAATGAGTAAAGGTTACCTGCAGGTCTAAAGAGGTCATTCATCTGATGGAGCAGCTTCTCTGTCAGAGAAGCCAGTGATGTAACAAACTCCTCCCCTCTGCCTCTCACACATTCCTGCATTCAATAAATAATGCACACTCAAAGTGAGACTGCAGATTAGAAAGGTGTTATCTGGTGCCACTGTCACATACCTGCAGCTCAAGGTGTGCACTGGAGATAGTGCTGTGTAGCTGCTGCTGTCTCAGCTCTTCTCTGCTGTTCAGCATCTCCAGCTCATCCTCCCCGAGAGACGTTCGCAGCTGACCTATGTTCACACTCTGACAACCAGACACATAGAAACCAGTCAGCTTGCAGATCTTTACTGTCTGTATCAGAGCCTTCTGCATCACAGATTCATACCTTCTCCTTCTCACTGGCTGCCAGAGTCTCCTCCAGCTTCTGTGTGAGTCTCGCCACTTCCTCTCTGAGCCCCGCAACATGCTGTCGCTCATGGTCACTGATCAAAACTGCAGGTGATAAAAGTAGCAGCTCCTCGAACACAGACAGCTGCTTCACCACATCTGACCCATAGACAGGTAGAGACAGACAGTGTGTATAGAATTTTTAGGTGCTTATTCTGTGTGACTGCTTTGAGATATTTGTATCTTTCTAAGATATATAAGTTCAGCCTGATGTTCCTGTTTGTATCAAACATGTGCATCATGAGCTGAAGGAGAGACTGAAAATGGCAAAAGTGAAATACAAAAAGAAGACAAAAAGGAATATACAGCCCAACAACATCTGTGAGGTGTGGAGAGCAATCAACACCATCTCTGGCTACAGCAAAAACAAAAGACAGTCACTCCTGGGTGAAGTGGATAGAGCTGATGAACTCAACCAGTTCTTCAATTGATTTTACTCTGTGGTCACACCTACATCCACTGCTGCTCCTCCATCACTTTCTCCTAATTCTTTTCAACACATGGGCATCTTCAGTGCAACTCCTCCAATTGTGTGCTTCTCAACCACAACTCCCACGTCTCCTTGCATCTCTAATATGGCAGCTATTTCCTATCCCACACCTGTTCTTCCACCATTATCTGTCACAGAGACAAAGGTGGGATTGGAACTAGGAAGACTATGCTCTAGGAAGGTTGCTAGTCCAGATGTTGTGTCCAAAACCTACCCATTCACTCCCCTCCACAGTTGCTTTCTCTGTATCAGGCAGCTTGCAATAAATAATTTAAACCTGGCAACTGTCGTTTTAGTCCACTCTTTGGGACTGGTTTAAGTTACACTCTAACCTGTTAAATTTTATCAGCTGTCATTTTACTGAGCATGTGCAAAAGGGTGAAACTATTGCACTGGAGTTCAAGGCAAATCTCATCCACTCCAGTGGTCCTGCCACTAAGGAGTTTTTAATTTACCTCACCCAAGGTTGCTGAGTTCAGAACGGAGAAAATCCAACTATGTATATAAAGGAAGGCTGGATATGTTCATCTAGCATCTGTTTGGACCAGATCTTCAAAGGACTGTTAGAGTTCAGATTAGGACAATGTTAAGGCCTCAGCCAGATTATAGTGCAAAATTATAGAAATGTTAGTCATCAAAAAGATGGACAGAAAATTGTTGTATTTCTGAACGGGTACCATCTCTGCTGGTGTCCAGAAACCTCCTTGCCTGCTCGTGGTATCCCACCAGCTTCTGCTGCGTGTTCTCAATCCATTGGTCCAAGGAGTCAGGAAGAAGCTGGAAACAGCTTAGACGCTCACTGCGATAAAAGTCCTGATGGATGGACAAGCGAAAGGTTTGTGTTAGTTTGTGCAGGTTGAGGTCAATTTGACTTCAGTTTGGACCAATGATAACATCAAGTGAGAAGATGATGTGGATCAGTGTGAAGTTAAAGTGGAACCTTAGCATCAGATAATTATTTAATTATCGAGTGCTCTGTGGTTTTCAGGAAACTGTTAGGGATATATTTCCCCTCTGTCATGTTTATGTTACCTCAGCAAGCTGCAGGAGAATGTCATTGGCTTTCCACAACGCCAAAATAACTTTGGAGCTAAAAGACCTGAAATGCAGAAATATCATAATGGAACTAGAACATTCCATAAGCTACACATCAGATCTGAATCAGATGGGACTCACTGTGCACTCAGATCTGGTTCGGGTCCAAAAATCTGGAACCTTCTCTCATGCCTGATATCAGTCCTGATAAACCTGGCGCCCCTCTTTACACTGAAATACAAACACGGGTTAAAAATAAAATAGGACAAACAAGTCATAGATTATCTATAACATATATCTATTAGTGGTTATTGTACTAAAAATGACTTTAATATGAATCCTCAAATTTGCCATTTTGTCTACAGCTAACCTTAAACCTCACATGACCATATTTGAAGGAAGGGGACAGAACGGATCAGCTAACACCATTTGATTTGGATAACTCTAACCCTACAATTCTTCTCCCTAGTCTTGGCAAACCCCATTTTCCTCTAAAAATAGGACATGTGTTAGGGTAAGTCAACTATGGAATTCTATTAGGGTTAGTATCCCTTACTCCATTATCCTAATGTACCAGATGAGATTTGTGACTTATGGAAATATGTCTTGGCAATAAGAGAACTTTAACTTTATTTTTCTCCAAAACATAAGGTTAGGTTTAGGGGCAATATACTAGGATAATAATACTAGAAGTAATAGTGTATGACATTACAGTATGACAGTTAGAAAGACTTAGATAGTATTTAAAAATAATAAAAAATTATACAATCTGGGTGTAAGGTCATCAGTGATGATGACATAGCAAGAAAGTAAAATGGCTGTCAGTGTTGTTATGTTTGCAGCCATAAAAAAATTGACATTGATGTTCAGATGAGTTACAATGCATCATGTTTCTACATGTGTTTACCTCGGTGCATTGACAGAATCTTGTCTCTGCTGAAGCTGGATAGGATTCAGACCTGAAAAAACACAACATGCTGTCAGTCTGAACTGGGTTGGCTGTTAAACACCAAACGCATTGCAAAAAAAACCCCCACGAAAATAAGAATTTTCCACATCCAAACTTGCTGTATAACGTATATACACCCCGAACACATTTTGTGGAAAATTCATCCTCAAAAAAACACACTTTAAAAGAAAATAAGTTGACAGCAAGTCATGATGAGCTGGTTCTGATGTTTCTAAACAAGAAAAGTAAGAAACTGAGATTCTGGGTTCATCCAATTCTCACAAGTAGGCAGCATGACCTGGAGCAGCATATAGCTGTATGTCTGAAGTAAAACATAATGATTTTTCTATTTCCATCTCTCTAGTAGTCAGTACTGGTGTGCGTTTGAGCTATGAGGGCATTTGTTTCCAAATGCAGTCTGCGGTCAGATCTGTTTATTCGGATCCAAAAAAATCAAGGTTGGTTTGAAAAAATAAATGCCAAAAATGTGTCCCAGTGAAATAACGCGGTCAGTGTGAACAGCTGCACAAAGAATAGCTTTGTCTGAAAAATATTTAGAATGCACAAAATATTCATATTGATTTTATGCATTCAATGTGTGAAGCCCTTCAGTCACCAGTTAATCATCCAGGCTTAAGGGTATGTTAAGAGAGGCTGACACACACACACACACAC